TTGAACCACATTTCAGGCTTCAAACATAAAGATATACAAATTATTTTTTTGTCAAGAATCAACAACAAGTGGGACACAATTGTGAAGTGGAACAAAATTTATTGGATAATTTAAACTTTTGTAACAAATAAAAAACTGAAAAGTGGGGCGTGCAATATTATTCGGCCCCTTGCGCTAATACTTTGTAGCACCACCTTTTGCTGCAATTACAGCTGCAAGTCGCTTGGGGTATGTCTCTATCAGTTTTGCACATCGAGAGACTGGAATTCTTGTCTATTCTTCTTTGCAAAACAGCTGGAGCTCAGTGAGGTTGGATGGAGAGCGTTTGTGAACAGCAGTGTTCAGCTCTTTCCACAGATTCTGGATTGGATTCAGGTCTGGACTTTGACTTGGCCATTCTAACACCTGGATACGTCTATTTGTGAACCATTCCATTGTAGATTTGGCTTTATGTTTTGGATCATTGTCCTGTTGGAAGATAAATCTCCGTCCCAGTCTCAGGTCTTTTGCAGACTCCAACAGGTTTTCTTCCAGAATGGTCCTGTATTTGGCTCCATCCATCTTCCCATCAATTTTATCCATCTTCCCTGTCCCTGCTGAAGAAAAGCAGGCCCAAAGCCTGATGCTGCCACCACCATGTTTGACAGTGGGGATGGTGTGTTCAGGGTGATGAGCTGTGTTGCTTTTACGCCAAACATATCGTTTTGCATTGTGGCCAAAAACTTCGATTTTGGTTTAATCTGACCAGAGCACCTTCTTCCACATGTTTGGTGTGTCTCCCAGGTGGCTTGTGGCAAACTTTAAACCAGACTTTTTATGGATATCTTTGAGAAATGGCTTTCTTCTTGCCACTCTTCCATAAAGGCCAGATGTTTGTGCAGTGCACAACTGATTGTTGTCCTATGGACAGACTCTCCCACCTCAGCTGTAGTTATCTGCAGTTCATCCAGAGTGATCATGGGCCTCTTGGCTGCATCTCTGATCAGTCTTCTCCTTGTTTGAGATGAAAGTTTGGAGGGACGGCCGGGTCTTGGTAGATTTGCAGTGGTTTGATACTCCTTCCATTTCAATATAATTGCTTGCACAGTGCTCCTTGAGATGTTTAAAGCTTGGGAAATCTTTTTGTATCCAAATCCAGCTTTAAACTTCTCCACAACAGTATCTCGGACCTGCCTGGTGTGTTCCTTTGCCTTCATGGTTCTCTCTGTGCTTTAAACAGAACCCTGAGACTATCAAAGAGCAGGTGCATTTATACAGAGACTTGATTACACACAGGTGCATTCTATTTATCATCATCAGTCATTTAGGACAACATTGGATCATTCAAAGATCCTCACTGAACTTCTGGACTGAGTTTGCTGCACTGAAAGTAAAGGGGCCCAATAATATTGCACACCCCACTTTTCAGTTTTTTATTTGTTAAAAAAGTTTAAATTATCCAATAAATTTTGTTCCACTTCACGATTGTGTCCCACTTGTTGTTGATTCATGACAAAAAATTAACATTTTATATCTTTATGTTTGAAGCCTGAAATGTGGCGAAATGTTGAAAGGTTCAAGGGGGCCGAATACATTCGCAAGGCACTGTATGTACAATAAAAGTGACAATAATTATGTACAACAAAAGTGACAAGTGTCAATTGGAAACAGTGTCAATAGTAGTGCAGGTTTTCACACAGTGATCATTTAAAGTGACTTATTGTACAGTCTGACAGCAGTGGGGATAAAGGCCCTGCGGTAGCGCTCCTTCCTACACTGAGGGTGTCTCAGTCTTCCACTGAAGGAGCTCCTCAGCTCCTCTACAGTCCTGTGCAGTGGGTGGGCAATAAATGGAATTTAGGCAATTAATCGGCTTTTGAAAAACTGTAATTTGTGAAAAATGTGAAAATGGTGAAATGGAATGAAGGATATTGTGAGAGTTCAAAGTAGTTTTGAGACTTGAATATTGAGCGGAAAGCTATTGTTGGCCCCGCCCTGAAGTGTCTCCCTCCGTGTATTTAGACCCAGTCATCCTTTCCTCTTATGGTCGCTCATTTATTGTCTTGGTCCTGGTTTCAGTTTTTACTAATGAATATGTTTTTTTGTGGCACTTATTAAATTATATTATTTTGCAGTTCTGCTTTTGGGCTATTCAGATAAAGGTAAAGAAAATGGACGGATGGATAAAACTGGTTTGATGACCAAAATGGGACACTCAAGGACGCCCATATATGGATGTTCTGTGGCTTCCTGTTTGACACAGAAACAGCGTTTGTCGTGTGCAGTGAAATCACGAATGACTAATTTCTCTCACGAGCAGAAGTGATAAGAGCACTAATATTTACCGTTATTAAATATATTCTGAGCGACTGTCTGAACCAAACAAACCAAGGAAAAGATATCAACCACAAGTTATGATGGATCGGTTTTATAGTTCACATGACAGTATTCATCCACTCCACTACTGTAGCCACGGCTGCCCTGGGGCACACTGACAGAGACGAGTAGAGAAACCAAAACTGAATTAGCTCCCCTTACTTTGCCAAAGAGTGGAGAAGAAGTGAGATATTAGTTACAGAACGTGTCGAAAGCTTAAGGCAACTTTTGGTCATGCCGACTGTTTACATTTCGATCGGTTTCTGTCTAAATTCTTTTTTTCACACATCTCCTCCATGAGCTGCTCTTTGAATGGGTCTGAACTGCCCCCATTCAGAAGTACTTAGTGCATTGTGCAAGCAGACGATACCATTATCCACCCAGCTTCCCTTCTCGGTCTGAAAAAGTAATACTGTTTGAGTGGCCAAAAAACGATTGTCTGAGAAATAACGCAGGTAAATAACAGTGACGTGCAAAAGGTTTGTGAGAGCAAGAAGCAAGTTGAATTGTAACAGTGTGAATAAACAGCCTTTGTATGAAAATCAGATGTCATCAACAGCAGTAAAACATGAGATAAGATGTACATTTCTCCAGTGTGAGATCAAAAAAGTTTATGTCACATTTGGCACAGATAGAATCCCTCAGACTGTGTAATGCCAATGATTATGGATTCTGAAACAGATGGAATAGATCTGTCTTATCTTCAATTCAATGTAAATTCAATGTATTGTTGTATAGCCCTAAATCACAACAAAAGTTAACTCAGAGGACTTCACAAAACTGTCAAATTCACCAACACAGATTAGAGAATCAAACCGTTCAAATACAAGAAATGCAATGATGAAAAAGGGTCCATAAGGGGCAGAGACCAATGTCCATAAATGTGGATAAAGTCACCACTGTCCTAAGACCCTCCTGCATCGGCAAAAAGAACAACTCTAAAAACAGGAGAAAATGAGAAACCACTGAGGGAGGGTCCGCTCCCACACGCTTGTTCTGTTACTGTGACCTAAAAACACAATCGAGTTTGTTAATTTGGACAATCCCCTGATTTATTGCGAACGTGTGAAGGCCCGAGTGAAAGACTTGAGACCAGCGCTCTCTCCGAAGACAGGAAATGCCATGTACTGTATGAAACACATCCAGGAGAGGTTAACCCAGTCAACCCGGCCCTGCTGCTGCCACACTTCTTTTTATAGACACACATGTAGTCAAATATGCATGTGTGTAAAAAGTCAGACGGGTCCCCAAGCAGGAGGGTTTTTTTCTTTTTTCTCCCCCCTGCAAGATCACACAGAGTAAGGACATCTTAATCCCGTGAGGTGGGCTTTACATAACATAATGGCTAATAGCTTGTGACATAATCGAGGCAGTGTTGTGACGCTGGGCCTCGTGGCAGCGGTGCTAAAACTCTCTGGTCAGCTCAGGGCAGCTGCGTGCCACTCCAAAAGGACAGGGAAATATATATACTGTATGTACGGGCTTCAAAAGAGAGATTGCCTTCAACCCATGCATCATTGAATGGATGGAAAGTCAGAAATAAATGTATAAGTGGGAGTGACTTGCAAAAGACTTGAAAGGTGAGTTGTGTGTTATTGAATGCAATTTTGACTTTAAAAATAACAGTTTTTCAATCGATCAATCAAAATGTATGTCTCTAGCACAGTTAATACACAATGCAACCCAACGTGCTTCACATTGACAACATTTAAAACACATACGACTGGCAATTACAAAATATAATAATAATAATAATCCAAAAAGGCCTAATAAGAACTGTTTTCATCCGAGATTTCACTATAGCTAGGCCTGTCTCACACCTTCAGGAAGATTGTTCCAGATGTTAGGTGCATAGGTCTAGAATGCTGCCTTGTCCCCGTGTAAGGTTATCAGAAATGTTTGGATGTCGAGCTTGAATAGACGGGATGAGGTTTAAAGTCTAAACTACCGTAGGGCTGGCCGATATTTCTTCATTCAAATGTTTTATATACTTGCACATACTTTGGTATATACTGTACCTCAGCACCGGCAGGAGCAAACACTAAACTAAGGACATATGAATCTGAACCTCCAGACTCATCAGTTTCTCCTGCAGAGCCTTAAGATCTATCAGCGGTACATACTTAACTTAACTGTGAGTTAATCAGTAATGACATGTAACAGAGAAAAAGATCAAATGAAAACTTGAACGTGTAGGAGTCACAATCACTTAGCAGATAAGAGCTACGAGACATGGTTTTGTTGGCACTTAGCTCGACTTTAACTTCTGAGTGCCTGATTTTTTGCACAGATAATATGTTCAAAGGGAAAATAAAGTCTGGTTCGGACCTTGGGGAAAAGTTACTTCTGGATTCTTAGCAGCTACTAAGAGAAAATGAGCTGGCAACAATACAGCAGTTATAAGCCGAGGGATCATTTGCGAGGCATATTTTCAATTTTCAAAAGAAAGGAAGACAAATTGCCCTGTGGTACTTTGCTAATCTGGTGCTCGTCCCCATTTGGAGGTGATAAGGGGCAGCCGCACTGATTTATGAAGTCTTACTCTGAGCTGAAGTCAAACAAATGCTGGAAGATCAAGGGGAGTTCCATATTCTATAAGCCGAGTTTCTTTTACCACATTTCAAAGACACACACATGACAAACATTTAGGGTGTCTGTGTAGGGAGAGCGGCTGATGCCACACTCTGAGATCTCATTTCTGTCTGATCTCGGGAAGTCTCACTGAATCTCTCGTGATTACTCCTGATGAAGGAGTAATCACAACTAACTCACCTTTGAACAATGATTACACTGTTCAGATGGAAAAAGACAGTTCCACTTCAAAGCAACGTGTGAAGTTAGTAAGTAACTAAGTAAGTAAGTAAGTAACTAAGTAAGTAAGGACGGATGGACAGACAGACAGACAGAGGGACAGACAGACAGAGGGACAGACAGACAGAGGGACAGACAGACAGACAGACAGACAGAGGGACAGACAGACAGACAGACAGACAGACAGACAGACAGAGGGACAGACAGAGGGACAGACAGAGGGACAGACAGACAGACAGACAGACAGACAGACAGACAGAGGGACAGACAGACAGACAGAGGGACAGACAGACAGACAGACAGACAGACAGAGGGACAGACAGACAGACAGACAGACAGACAGAGGGACAGACAGAGGGACAGACAGACAGACAGAGGGACAGACAGAGGGACAGACAGACAGACAGACAGACAGACAGACAGACAGACAGACAGAGGGACAGACAGACAGACAGACAGACAGACAGACAGACTACTTCCTGCTTCCTGCTGCTGTCACGTTGGTCATTTCTCTTGCTATAAGTACATTTGTCAAAACATCAATTCCATTATGTAGAAGTTGTTTGTTTATTCGGTCATTATGAATATTAATTCTTAAGTCGCATGTTTTTTTAAAAGATTTTATACATTTTACACTTAGAAAAAAAAACATGTATATTAAGAATTTCAGCGCTAAATTACTCCTGATTAAAAAAAAACCCATTGTGAATAAATATGCAGGGAGGATTTGAATAGAGATTATTGAAGTGAAGTCTGCAGGATCTAAACCCTGGTGATGATAGAAACTGAAGTGATGTGCCAATGAAATGCTCACCCCACTATTGAGGAGGCGGGTTGCTGCATGAGCTGAATCGTACAGCGCCACATTAGTAACAGTGTTCGGTGAAGCAGGAAGAACAGTGACCAAGCAGAAGCTGACGTCGGAGAGTCTGAATGACACTAACAAGACAGCTCTCCTCCACAGCCCCATTGTTTATTAACCGCCGTTGTTAGCAATATTTTATGATTTTGCTTAATTTTAATGTGACCCCATCTGGCTCTTCTTAGCACGACAAGTGACAGGCGCCGGTACAGACTGGAATGGAAGACAATGTTGAATCTCATCGTTATTATTCTCATTGTTATGATTGAAGAAAATGACAAAAGATGCAGCGGTCTGGGATCGAGTCACAGCAGAAGAAATGTTATTGTTGGTGAGATCAATAAAGTTTGTCTTATCTTATCTTAAGACATGTCCAGAGCTAAACCCGTTTCTGCAAGGTTTGAATGTTTAGCGTCGCACCCGCAGGTCTCTCCCTCAGACCAGTCTCTCCAGAGGATACGATGTAAGCTAGCTCTGTTCAGGGCTTGGTTTCTTCTTTGATCATGTTGTGGCTTTAGTTCCTCTTCTCTTCCTCACTGTTGTGTGGTTCGGGCTGTTTTGCTGTGTCTGCAGTTACAGCCAGAGGAGTTATAGCCACTTATGCTAACATGCTACTGTGTTTAGCAGCGCTGTAGAGGCTAGAGGACGCAGCCTGTTCTGTGATTGGAGGAGAGCGGGCGTCACGCTAAGTCTCTACTCAGCACTTTTTACGGCCTGAGTTCATCCACAGCTGAATCAATGAGCTCAAGTTTTACATTAAATTACTGATTATAATTGTTTGTAATAATTTGTAGTAATAAGTATTTTTATGAACTCAAAACAAAAAAAGGGGTATAGCATCTTTAAACCAGACGAATTAAGGTATCTTTGTCCCTGTGACGGTGCTAATAGACAGCTTCAACCTTTAGAACAAGTGGAAAATTCTTGACTTCTACAGACGATCGAAATAGCAAGTTCAGCTTCAACCATAGTTTACATTTTGGGCGGCGTAGTGTCAGTTTCCTCCAGGTGCTCCGGTTTCCCCTTGTGCCAGTGTGTTCGTTGTCTCGCTTTGGCACTCAGTGTGGAGAGAATGGACAAATAAGATCAACCTAGGACCTCTGCTTCACCCAACCCCCTTTTCAAAACTTGTGACATGTTGTTCATTTGATAACGGATATTTGTATCATGTGTTCTGCAGGTTTTAAAATAAATAACTAAAATGTGCTGTATAAATAAACATGACTTATTTACTTATCTGTCCATAAAGGCATCTATAATTTCTTCCTCTTTCTCCAACTGAAGACCATTTTGACACTCAGCTTAAAAACGCAATCAGCAGGTGATCATAAGATAAACAAGTCATCAGAAATGGAAGTGCATAATCACATTTCAAGCTTTACAAAAATGTTTTTATATTTTAACACGAAACATTATTCTACCAACTTCCAAGAAAAAGTTTCCAGAAACTTTAGACACAACTGTTTTATGGACTACATGTGTTGGATCTTGGCAGACTCTAAGGCTTGTCATAATGTTGGCCAGAAAAGGTATCGCAGTGGCAGCTTGGACCAGATGTGCCAAACGAAACAACTCATCCACTCGACACCAGTCTCTATCGGTCCAGTCTCCATCGCTCCAGTCTCCATCGGTCCAGTCTCCATCGGTCCAGTCTCCATCGGTCCAGTCTCCATCGCTCCAGTCTCCATCGGTCCAGTCTCCATCGGTCCAGTCTCCATCGCTCCAGTCTCCATCGCTCCAGTCTCCATCGCTCCAGTCTCCATCGGTCCAGTCTCCATCGGTCCAGTCTCCATCGGTCCAGTCTCCATCGGTCCAGTCTCCATCGGTCCAGTCTCCATCGCTCCAGTCTCCATCGCTCCAGTCTCCATCGCTCCAGTCTCCATCGCTCCAGTCTCCATCGCTCCAGTCTCCATCGCTCCAGTCTCCATCGGTCCAGTCTCCATCGGTCCAGTCTCCATCGGTCCAGTCTCCATCGCTCCAGTATCCATCGGTCCAGTCTCCATCGGTCCAGTCTCCATCGGTCCAGTCTCCATCGGTCCAGTCTCCATCGGTCCAGTCTCCATCGGTCCAGTCTCCATCGCTCCAGTCTCCATCGGTCCAGTCTCCATCGGTCCAGTCTCCATCGGTCCAGTCTCCATCGCTCCAGTCTCCATCGGTCCAGTCTCCATCGCTCCAGTATCCATCGGTCCAGTCTCCATCGGTCCAGTCTCCATCGGTCCAGTCTCCATCGGTCCAGTCTCCATCGGTCCAGTCTCCATCGGTCCAGTCTCCATCGGTCCAGTCTCCATCGGTCCAGTCTCCATCGGTCCAGTCTCCATCGGTCCAGTCTCCATCGGTCCAGTCTCCATCGCTCCAGTCTCCATCGCTCCAGTCTCCATCGGTCCAGTCTCCATCGGTCCAGTCTCCATCGGTCCAGTCTCCATCGCTCCAGTATCCATCGGTCCAGTCTCCATCGGTCCAGTCTCCATCGCTCCAGTCTCCATCGCTCCAGTCTCCATCGGTCCAGTCTCCATCGGTCCAGTCTCCATCGGTCCAGTCTCCATCGCTCCAGTCTCCATCGCTCCAGTCTCCATCGGTCCAGTCTCCATCGCTCCAGTATCCATCGGTCCAGTCTCTGAGCCTGGCCTCTTCCATCTACACCTGCGGACTGCCCCGCCTGACCCGCCTGGGAGTGCTTCAGTCCTGCACCGGACCTGTCCACGTTCAGCGTCCACTGGTCCACGTTTTGTAGCTAGCTTAGGTCCTGGATCATTAGCCTGTCCGTCCGGAGGAGCGGATCCCTTTCTCATATGGGTCTCCCTCCCTGTGGGTTTCCCTAGTTCTCCTCCAAGGTTTCTCACTTTTTCCCACTGGGTTTTTTAAGAGTTTTTCCTTGTGGATGCAGGAGGGTCTTGTTGGACAGTTAGTGTCCAACAGAAAGGATTGGTGATGATCAGGACACTTTAGCATTCTACAACATGTATGGACATTTTCTTCTGTGTGTGCTTTATACTGTATTCTTCATGTGTTTTAACTGTTGATTCTCTGACCTGTGTTGGTGATTTCAATGGTTTTGTTAAGTCTCTGAGATGACTTCTGTTGTGACCTAGGGCTATACAAGAATAAATTGTATTGTATTGTATTGTTGTCTCCATCGGTCCAGTCTCCATCGGTCCAGTCTCCATCGGTCCAGTCTCCATCGGTCCAGTCTCCATCGGTCCAGTCTCCATCGGTCCAGTCTCCATCGGTCCAGTCTCCATCGGTCCAGTCTCCATCGGTCCAGTCTCTATCGGTCCAGTCTCTATCGGTCCAGTCTCCATCGCTCCAGTCTCCATCGCTCCAGTCTCCATCGCTCCAGTCTCCATCGCTCCAGTTCACTTTCAAGCATTGTTTTCTCACTATTGGGAGCTGGAGAAGGGCCCAGTTCCCGTTTGAACACAGCGATTCTGTCATTCTGGCTGCTGAGCGACGGCTGCCTGTGGATGAGAGCCGGTCCAGGCCGGTCCAGGCTGGAGAGTCGGCCCACGCTGAGTAAACAGGGCCTTGTTGAGTGGCTCCACAGTTCTCTGGCGGCGCGACAATGCTAACGTTCCGGCTCGCTGTGAGGTCGCCTCATTTGGCTCGCGCTAACAGGGGCTTTCACCTTGTATTCCAGAGGTAAGTACCGCGGCCCGCATTGTCTGCGCTCCATTGAGTGGTGCTCAGAGTGGGCCGCCCTGATGAGACTGTTAAGCAGAGGCTAAGGATGTGATGTGGAGAGAGCGCAGGAGAGTGGCTCACGTTACCACTTCAGAAACTTTAGTGAAGGCCAGATAATATGTGTTTGTATAAAATGATGACCTTATGTTGTATGAGACACTTCAACAACATTTATGGACTTTTATGGTCCAAATGTGTGGACCTTGGTCTCTGCTCCTTACGGACCGATGGCTCTGTGTGTTTTTTAATCACTGCATTTCTTGTGTTGGAACTGTTTGATTCTCTGATCTGTTTTGGCGAATTCAATGGTTTTGTAATCATTTATTTTTACTTTGAGATGCTTTTCAGGGGAGTTCAGGTGAATGCAAACTGGAATACACATTTCCTTTTGTTGTTATTATGAGGTATTACTCACGGAAATTCAGTGTCAACACTTCAAAAATGTGAAAACAGGAAGTAATATTTACTTTAGTGGGACATTTATTTTTTCTTAATTTGAGTTAAAACCAGATTTTCCAATGGGACAAAGCCATAATATTTCAAGAAAGAGCCTTATTTTAGAAGTTTACTTTCTCATTCCAGGAGAGAAACGTACCATTGACAAATATTGTTTTGAGGCAGTCAAATTGTGCTTCTTTCTTCTATATTATGCAAATAAGATGTTATTTTATTTCATGATATAGTTATTGTTCACTTATCTCGTGCTGTGTGTCTTTCATTCCTACTGTTCTGTGATGATGACGCAACACTGACATTTCCCCGCTGTGTGACAAACAAAGGACCTTAGTCTTCCTCCCACGTGGGGCCCTGGAAAGATCATCTCCGAATCATAAACGTTTAGCCGGGTTCAGGTCGATGCTTGATTATAGAAACATCTCGAAGTGAAGACACGTACTAAACAGAGCGACTGATGGAAAAACCAAAGAAAAGTTCATTCCATTCAAGCTGCGATATTTGTATGCTAATGTTCTGCTGCTTCTAATTCGGTTTCTGGGTTAACTGTCGTGCTTGTTATAATTGACGCCATTTGTGTGACTTAGATTTTGGCTTAGTGATTTTCTAATTAAATTCTGCTTGAGCTGAAGCTGATTTATCTGCCCTGCGCTTCATTCAACTCCAGCTCTAGTGTGAAATGATATAATGATTTAAGAGCAGCATTTGTCACTGCGTCTAACAATAGATTACAGGCGGAGCGGATTCAATGGAAAAGGTTAAGTGTGTAGGTGCACGTGTCACTTTCCTTTATCTTTTTCAGATAGAATAACCCAATCAAGCTGCCGGAAGCCCATCCTTTTGTGCCGGGATAATGAGTGGAAATAATGCAATATTCTACGGTTGTGGTAAAAGTTTCTGTCATTAACACTAGAACTCACAGAGTAATTGGACGGCTGTTACTTTAGGATTCTGTTGTATGTATCAGTTTGGTCGTTATGACTTTTTCTATCTCTATATATGCATTTTTTTTTCTCTATTTAATTATATGAAAGTACCTACCTCCGGCTATAACTAAAATTGAAATAAGCGGCCATTTTTAGAGAGCAGTAGAAAGGAAGTAGGTCTGGGACTAGCCTGGTCGTACCACACCATAGTGCTAATTACATTACGAACTAAGGTCTGGAGGCGCTGCATTGACTCCGTGAACAGGTGGGAGGGACTAACTCCTTTTACAGATTGAAACGATTGGATCTGAGTTTACTGTGACGTATGCAATGCTCCCGAGTCTGTTGTTAGCATTTAGCATTTAGCCTAGCTTTAGCCATCTCCTTTCCCGCTAACGGAGCCCGTGGGGAGTAGAGCCACAATTTTTTCCAGCGATTACATTTGCTAAACATTCCTCTTGCTCCGGCTTCAGTTTCTTGATAGAACCAGAAGAGAATACTTTACTATCGCATTCTTCACCAAACTACAACCTTCCCGTTTGACGCAAACTCTTGACATTAGCCTTTCAACAAACTGTTTTGGCTGTGAAGTTATATTCACCAGTTTAGCACATATTCAATTTGAGAAAAGGTAAAAAACCTGATAAAGTTCTTAAGTTGCACACTGGGAAAGTCTTGCACAGTTTTTCCAATGTGGTTTTTTGCTTGAATTACGTTTAATAAATCTGGAGACAAGTAAAAAATGCAAACAATCAAAATGGCAGCTATGGGAGTTGTAGTTTAGAAATGATGAGGGTCTTCGTGTTAAAGAAGTTTGTTTATTCAGTCATTTCAGGCATTTCACAAAAGTCACCTCTTGTCCATCATAGTTTCCGACAAAAGTAAATAAAGTATTGCTAACATGCATAAACCAAAATAGTTGCCTGAAAGGGAGTAGGAAGAAGTGGATGGGATCATTAATGTTTAGTCATATGCAACATACATTTATATATTGAACAAATTACATACATTATGAATGAAGTGAGTGACTATGAAAAGAAAGAAGTAGGTTGTTAGTTTTGTGTTTTGCTCCAGGGGACAAATTAAGCTAGTGACCCCAAACTCAGACCATGAAACAGCTCTCCCCAAAGAGCCCGGGCAGCAGGCTTACTTCATATTACTTATTAATCACTGCTTTTTGGTGGATTCATTCATGTACGGCTCCCCGCACACTAACGGGAGACGGAGATAGATTACTATGCAAATTGAATGCAAAGTTTCCTCCCTTTGTATGTCGCTGGTCGTGTGTTTGTGTAACCGAGTCCATTCGTCTCAAGTGAATCAATTACTGTACATCCGTAATCCTGAATCTCTAAGAACTACTGTAAGTTACCTGGGAACACGCCACTGTCTACGTCTGGAATGTGTCTATCCTGGCTTTAATGTGATCCGCCCACTTTCTAATAAATACAGTATTCATGAGAAAGAAAAAGATTATACTGTTCCCCTTATTCATGTTTTTTAAAATCCTATTCAAAGGAGTAATCAACTTTTCTTCTGGTTCAGCTACATGCTTCTGTTTACAGAACATGTTAAAGGTTTTCCTACAGCGAGCATGTCAAAACCATACTGTAAATATTAACGGACGTAGTGACGCCTTTCTCCGTTGTTGAAACTTACGTGTCATCACTTCTCCCTCTTGCCGTCTTTTTCAAAATGGCCGCGAGTAGCCCCTCCCGTGCATTCAAAAGTCAACAGCGGCTAAACTAGGCTGATCCACAAAAAAAAAACCTCCCCAGCATTGACAGCATCTGTGTTGAGCAAAGATCCAGACTTTTGGACCAGGCGGTAAAGCAGTTTTCGAGTGGAAAAAATACTTCTTTGGAATTCAATGGATAATACTATTTCCGGGTACACCCCCACTGGCAAGAAGTCAGATTACAAGCATGTCAGCGCACGTGGGGGAGGGTCCCAGCTCAAAAGTGGCCAAAATGACGTGCGCTGACATGCTGCAGTACCACCCCGGGCCTGTGAGGGTGGACCCAGAAGTAGAATTAGCCAATGCTAACATATAGCGTTAGCAGACCTCTGGAAAACGTCTTTACAGGATGGACCAAAAGTTGTCTCTTGGCCCAAAGCTCCGTTCCACATGTGTGTCAATGCTGAGTGTTCTGGACCAGTCTAGTTTAGTCGCTGTGGACTTTAGAAGTCTCTCGTTTAAATGAATGGAGCTGCGCCGGCTGACACATGCGCAGATGCGTTTTTTCACAATTTTCTTGTGGGCGGGACCACTCGCGGCCATTTTGGATTGCTCCAGTAGAGCACATTTTTTGGCCCATTAGTTAGAACGGCGCAGATACTGACTCTGTCCATTAATATTTACAGTCTATGGTCAGCGCACGTGCTCATGGACCTTTTTGAGCTGGGACCCAAAATCAGGCCAAACTCAGGCCAAACTCAGGCCCACAGGCCACTTGCAGAGTCAGATTCGTGGCCTCTGCCTTACTAAGTTCAGTGTCATCTAGCCAACTTTAGCTCCACCAGTACACACATGCTATACCTTGTGCCAGGTTTAGATTATAAGCGTCCTCTCTTTGTATGTCGCTGGTCCGTGTGTTTGTGTAACCGTATCTTATCCACTTTGAAACCTTAGAGTCCATTCATGTGAATCAATTACACCCGTCATCATGAATCTCTACGAACTAAGTTACCTGGGAACACGGCACTGTCTAACGTCTGGAATGTCTCTATCCTGGCTTCCACTAATCCGGTCGGGGGGTTCTGGGCGCACATGATGAGAAACACAGGGAGAAAAGCAGTTGAAAAGTTGAAACAAAAGGAAAAAGATCGTTGCAAATTGTCAATCGGACCATTTCATCAATTTGCTTCAGCATCTATTCCCCCGGAGGATGGAGGTGGCATGTGAAAAGAATGGTGTGAGCGTTGGGGAGGCAGGGTCACGGGTTCACCAATGCCCCTGGGCGTTACATTAGAGAGATAAAGAGTGGCTCAAATGAACTTCAGCTGCCGAGGCTTTTCATGCTGGGTTTGGACATTTGATTTTTTTTTTTTTGCTGACAGCGTAGAGTAAGTTCCCTTTTTTTCTCCCCTTTACGTCATTCCTTTAGAATCCATGGTCATTCTCCACACAAAACCTTATCTGCCTTCAATAAACGCAGGTTATTTCCATTCGCAACAATTCGTAAAAACTTGACCTTGCCGGGAAATGTCACTCGTTGCTCTTTTTTGTATCCCATTGAGCGTTTTAAACGATTGGCCTGGTCCTCTGTTGAAAAGCCTGATTGTGGATTCATCCTCTGCCATGGCTGCAAAAGGTAAAGACTAAGGTAGAGGAAAACACAAACAGAAAAGCATTGAGCTGCATTCCAAGTGAACACTGGCATGAGATAAAATACTCCTTTTGACACGTTTGGCAGCGTTGGAGAAAACCCCATTTTGAAACCAAAGAACGGACTTGTACCACGGTGAAGATGAACGACTTGTGGTAAAAACAAGAGAGCAAGCCCAATCAGAAATCGATCTGATTTTGTGGATTGCGTTTAGATAACATCCCTCTCTTGTGCTGGAGGGTGAAGTCGTGTCTGATCTGAAGAACAGAGCTGCGTTTGATTGGATGACAGCTGCGGCGGGTGGCGGCGGGGCCTGCTGTGAGCGTGGACGGAGCAACAGGTGTGGAGCTGGGCTGGCGAGATGAGTTGCAAGAGCGTTGCCGGCAGGAGGTCGAGACGGAGAAACAGTTTGGAATAATGTGCCTGTGCATCTGACGGCAAGTAACAGGAGACTTTAATATCCAGCCTTAAAGCACTCATAGGTCTGCCTCTGCTGGAAACGGTGAAAATAAGAATAGGGATTTTAAAACAAATTGGGGTCATGTGATTATCGTTCAACGCCTTTATCGTGAAATTCTATTGGAGGTATTTGAAATAAGTCCCCGTTTTAGTAGGAGTGTGACGATATATCGATATCGTGATGTATCGTGATTCTTTCTCACGCGGTCAATTATCGATATGCTTTTGCCAAGTATCGATTTTTTTTAATCTATTTTTTTATTAGTATCAATACTTAATAAGGCTACATTACACATCTCCATTCCATTTATCATGAAATAAAGTGTATTTTTTCACTAAACATTTTTATTTTTATTTATGCCAATATGTGCTGTATTTGAATCCAGAGTTGAGAATTAGTTAATAAATCACACGTATAATAAATAAAAGTGTATAAAAGTGTATTTTTGACCAATATATCGTGATATTATCGTTATCGTGAGCTTTGTATCGCGTATCGTGAGGTACCCTGAGGTTCCCATCCCTTCTTTATAGAGGGCCTCTCAGAAAATGCTTCACAAGTTCAAATGAGACACAGCCAAACACATGAATACAATGAAATATCACAAATACAATAAACTACAATCGAAATGCAGTACAGAGACTGAAAGAATGTTGAGATCGCTTTTCCAGAGGTCACGCTGTTCCTTCTGTAGTCTGGAAAGTCCATGCTTAAGCCGTCTCGTTCCACTTTTCTCTCTTTATTAAAAAAGTAGATATAAGGGAAGGACCAGTTATTTCATGTTTGTCTTTGAATGTGATTTTCCCACTTTTACATAAATATTCATGAAAAAGAAGATTGTTCTCTTATTATTCAAATCTGTTTAAAATCCTAACCTAAGCAGTAGACACAGTATCTTCTGGAGGTTCAAATACACGCTTATTTACATGTGTTATTGGTTTTCTTACAGCAAGCATGTCCAAACCACGGCCCACGAGCCAATTGCGGCCCTCTGAGTCTGTTTGTGTGGCCTCAAACCCCCGGCTGATCCAAGATGGCGTCCTGTTCAAATGAACGGCTTGTGCTCAGTTGTTCATGGGACTTCATGGAGCCCGGGAGATCAGCAGAACTCGCCCATATTTGGGCATCGTCTGGTCCCCCCGGTTCTGTACAGTGGATTATCTCCCATGATGCTTTGCGGCAAATACGCATGTGTGGGTCTCATGCACGTGCACAGAGGGGCTCGGCTGCACTCTGACCAATCAGAGCGGGAAGGAAAAGAGCTGAGTGTGTGGCAGTAAAATGTGGATTTAAAGAAAACAGAAGGATTAAAAAAGAAAAAAAGTTCAGGACGACAAGAGACACTAAAATACCCACAAAATCTGACCTTTATGAAAGCTGTCAGGTTCTCTGTCAGGTTCTCTGTCAGGTTCTCTGTCAGGTTCTCTGTCAGGTTCTCTGTCAGGTTCTCTGTCAGGTTCTCTGTCAGGTTCTCTGTCAGGTTCTCCGTCAGGTTCTCTGTCAGGTTCTCCGTCAGGTTCTCTGTCAGGTTCTCTGTCAGGTTCTCCGTCAGGTTCTCTGTCAGGTTCTCCGTCAGGTTCTCCGTCAGGTTCTCTGTCAGGTTCTCTGTCAGGTTCTCTGTCAGCTGAGGTCGTGCTGTTTTAATTTACATTGAGTTCTATGGGACTTTTTTCTGGGTAGCCCTCGTGAATTTAGTCTGCAGTACCACAGCGCCCCCTGTGGTCATAGGTGGGACAGCTATAAGCTAGTAATACTTTATCCAGTTATTATTATAGATCCATGGTTGCCTCTGCCTCGCTAAGTTCAGTGGTCTGTAAATAAAAGACAATTGGGAGCAACATAGCTCTGCGGATTTGTTTTATATTTTATTTTTGAATGTGAATTATTGTTTATTATATGAGGTGGAGGTTAAGTTAGCCATTGACTCATAAGCACAGATGACTTTACGAGAACAGGAATTATTACTGTCAATGTTGTTCTACAGGTGCTTGAACAATAATCACGATGTTGACACCGTGTCATACCTCATCAATAAAAAGATTCTTGTGGTAGGTTGGCTGCTTTTGCTAATGAGGATAATCAATCCAAATAAAGTCCTATAATTCCGGCCACTTAACTCATTGACTGCCATTGACTTATTAGTCTGAGACCCTCTATTTGACTGGGGATTACAGGACCATATAAACAGCTAGAAACAAGCTTATTTTTGCTGATGAAAGTAGACAATCCAGTCTTTCAGAATCCGGTTTCATATTTCACATAGAGTAAATAATATTCTGTGGGTCTTGAGAAACAGTGGAATGATCAAAAACGGCTGGCAGTCAATGAGTTAAGGATCAATGACACCAATCGCTCTGTCCCTTTCCTCAAAGTAGAAGGAGGAGTCTACCCTCCCCCCACCGGGGTTTCTCACTTTTCTCCCACTGGGTTTATAAAGTGGTTCCTCGCCGTTTTATGGTGCGTTCAGACCAAACGCGATTTCTGCGGCCAAATCGCGTCTATCGCGCGGCTTGAGCCGCTTGTGACAAATTGTGGCAGCCGCTGTCACAGAGAAACTTGGCCGCGCGGCCAGGACACTAGAGGGCAGCCGCTGTCACAGAGAGTTGAGAGCGTTTAGGGGCGGGGCTTGTCTCTTTTGCCTGTAGCTTCCCAAAATGGATGTCAGCGAAGGAGTTGCTTTATCTGATAAATAAAGCCAGACACGTCGTCAAAGGGCGAATCGACGACGTGTCTGGATTCATCAGATAGTCCGTAGACGGTTGGAGTTTGGTGAGTTTCACCATTTGCTCCGGGAGCTGCGCTCGGATGAGGGTCGCTTTCAGCGGTACTTTCGTCTCTCCCTGGCTCAGTTTGACGACCTACTGACCCGCATTGGCGCTAGGATCTCCTACCAGGACACCAACTCTATTCCAGCTGAAGAGCGCCTGTCCATCTGTCTGTGGTTAGTGTTTTTTACCCCATTCGGAATTCCAAAATACTTACAAAGTGTGTCATTTTTCAATCACAATCCACAATGTAATTGCTCAGAAAACAGTATTATGCAACAATTTGGTGTCTATGATTACTGTCTATGATGTTTACTGTCTACTAGTTTAACGTATTTTATGCTACACAAGTTTTGTCACGTGATTTTTTATGAATGTAATTGTGATAAATATGTTCATATCATTTTGTAATTGCAGGTTTCTTGCCACTGGGGACTCCTACAGGACCATTGCGGGGAGCTTCAGAGCGGGCATATCCACCGTCTCCATGCTCATCCCAGATGTGGTGGCAGCCATCTGGGACTGCCTCGTGGAGGAGTTCATGGCTGTGCCTGGAGCAGAGGAGTGGAGGTCCGATGGAACTTCCCTCTGTGCTGTGGGGCCATTGATGGGAAGCATGTGGCTGTGAAGGCACCCCCCAACTCTGGGTCCATGTTTTTTAATTATAAGGGGCACCATTCCCTTGTGCTCCTGGCTGTAGTGGATGCCCAGTACAGGTTCAGGGTGATTGATGTGGGAGGGTACGGCAGATCCAGCGATGGAGGCATCGTGTCCAACTCTGCCTTTGGTGAGGCTCTGCGCGAGGGCACACTCGACCTGCCTCCTGACCAGTGCATACCTGGAGCTGACCACAGAGGACCCCAGCCCCATGTGTTCGTGGCAGATGAGGCCTTTTCACTGCGCTGCAATTTAATGCGCCCTGCCCATCTCCAGCCATGAGGATGGCTGGAGATGGGCAGGTTCCTGCACCGAGGGGAGCTGCTGCCGGTGAAGAACCACTTCCAGGCGTGCAGCGGATGGCCGCCTGGAAGCCAGCAGTGGACATAAGGAAAGTGTTCATGGCCCACTTCAGTGAGGAGGGAGCACTGCCGTGGCAGCCCACAGAGTAGTCATGTCCACCACAAGACTGACCCACATCTGGCCATAGTCCAAACCCATATTGATTTGCACTATTCTATTCACCTGTATACCTTCTGTTTCTAGGTAATGACTGCCAGACTCCACTGCGACAACTTCAGGTTAATCATATGCACATTCAAGCTTTTCCATAATTACAAGGTTGTTAAAACAGTAAAAGGTGAAATGAATAAAAAATACTGTCAACTACTGTATCGCTCTTTAAGTGTTTGTTATTCCATCTTCTATAAAACCCAGTCAGCTCTTAAAAAAGTAAATGTACAAATATAGAATAGCATTTTCTGTCAATATTATATGAAAGGTAGTAATGGTTGGCTTGAAGTAGAACACATGAGGTTTGAAAAATATTTTCTTTATAAAAAAAGGAACAAACAATGAAAAATAAATGAAATGTACATATAAACAAATGAAAAGGAGCTTGCTTGGAGGAGGTGCGGTGGAAGAGGAAAGGGACACATGTCTGTTTCCTCCCCTGCAAAAGGTGTTACCTTAGGTAAAAAAAACTGTACTGGCCAATGGTTCCAAATTAAGCAGAACGGTGCTGCTTTCATATAAAAGTTGGTACATTTTGAATTTCACAAATTCTTTTGACTCTGGTGCCACCCTTTGCAGGAGAGGAAAGAGAGAGAGCAGGAACTGATGGTCTTCTGAGTAGTCGGGCGGTGCGGCTGCTTTGGTCCGTAGAGTCTCCAGCAGCTCCCGCTCCCACTCTGAAGGCCCACCAAGGAAGAGGGCTCGGAAGAGGCCCACGTCCGTAGAGCCGCCAACAAAGAACACAGGGCAATCACAGTGTTAAAAAGTGGAACATGTATTTCAAAAAAGCAAAATGAAGAGAGCAAATAATATCTGTATTAAAGCCAGAGTGTGTAGACATAGTTAAACACATGTAAAACACTTTTAAGTTGTGTGTGTGTTACAATTAACTTGAACATTGCAGTTATCAATGAAATTACTCACACATGCACAAATTTCGACAGTTACAAACTAATATCTCTGAAGTGTATTTCGCAATGAAATTTGAAATTGGCTGTAAAAAAGTAATACTCTATTGTCTGCATTAAACAGGATAGCTGCCATCTTGTGGCAACCATTGCATGTATTTGTTCAGTACTTTTATAGCATAAGGTATTTCAGTAGTATGTTTTTATCAAAGAAAGAGGGAAGATGTGTTGTATCAGACCAAAGCTTCTTTCCACCTGTAGTGCCTTGACATCTTGTCGTTTCTCTGTAAATTTGTCGTCTACACTGATGTAACAGCCCTTGGGTAATTTTGGCATATTATGCAGTAACATTTTGTTTATATGAACAGTCCTGTAATAAGAATAAAAATAAAACAATGATTAAAAAAAGCCACACCTGTAGGTGCAGAAGCAGGGGAAGGTCCAGCCCTCACAGAAGAAGAACCGGCTGAGGAAGCAGCAGCAGCAGCAGGCAGCTCAGGCCAAGATGTCTCACCTTGTGTGGTGGTGGCAGTGTCTGTGCCAGAAGAAAACAAGAAATACAATTATTTCATATCATGTGTACATTGCGCTTATGACATTTATATGTACATAATAATGTACATTATTATGTACATTTAAATGATTTGTTCATATAAAAGGGAAAAGTGAAATTTAACACAACACATGATCAAGATCTATCCTGGTTTGAAAATAGCCAATGCCTATTTTCACCTGGCCATGATGTTAAGAAAGCATTAAAAGAAATGCATACACAGAAAGCAATATAAATGTAAAAGTCAGCAAAATGTGGGTAATAGAAAGGAAAGAAATGTATTTTTTCCAACTGTTCGAGGTCTCCGTTTGCTGCATGACACCGACCTTCAGCACCTCATATGTGTCCCTCAGGTTCTTCCACCGCTTTTTGCAAACTTCCACTGAATAAACACATCAACTCGTAAGCAGGAAAGTAGTAGTTTTTTTCGCGGGGAAATATTTACAACATTGAAAAGTTAAAATAACTTACCCGAGACACCAACCACCTCGCTAACCCTCCTCCAAGCAAGCTCCTTTTTATTTCGGTCCCGGTAGCTGTGGTCCGCAGTGTTATATAGCTCAGAATGAGCACCGACCTGAGCAATTGACGTGTCCTCCATAGCTGTCATCTACCAGTGTTTTTCCGGTAGTGAAATGCGTCACTACGTCACTGGAGGAGAAAGCTCCTGATTGGTCGGCACACGCGAATTCTCCCAAAAAGTTCAACATTGTTCAACTCTAGCGGCGGCCGCGTTGGAGGCACGAATCGCGCGAAACGCGCGTCAAAACGCTTGACATCTCAAAACACGCCGCGCGAATCGCGCGAAACGCTCGAATTCGCGCCGCTCTGGCCGCGCGAATCGCGCCGCGTGATCTCTCGCCGCTCCTTGGCGCGCGTCCCCCATGTTGTGTCAATGTAGACCCGCCGCTTTGGCCGCAGAAATCGCGTTTGGTCTGAACGCACCATAAGGCTTCGATGTTGTGTTGTCTGTTGTTGTTTCTCAAAGCTAAGCCAAGGTAATGCGCAGTTATTGCCACAAAATGCGGCCGTATTTCTACAACAGCTGGGGATTTTTAACTAGCTAACTTGGTGAAAGCCCGCATTACAGTCTCAGGCAACAATATGTATAAATAATACAACTACTACTGCCACTACTGAGTAACATGCTCACCTGTTCAGTCGGAGAGAGGAATCCACGGAGCTAGAGGTCGCCAACATGAATGCAGCTGGTCACCATGTTGCTCCTACTTTTTGTCGTTCCTCTGTTTCTGGCGTTTTGCCTGTATTTAATAAATCCATGGTATTTAGTCTGCAGCAGCGCTGGAGGCGGCTTTTCCTTCTCCGCCCATGTTTGTTTTGAAGAGTGCGCGTGCACACACGGGAGAAACCCCTTATAAGGCGTGCTCTCTCGTCATTGGATAAGCGCATAGGATGTGAGGTTTTTTTTATTAAATATGTGGGAGAAGACTGGAAGGACTGAGAGATCCGTGTTTAGGTACAAACACTCTATATAAGTGATGGCTATTGGAATATATCAATATTTAAGACGTATATTAACACCCAAAAATCGCTTACTGCTGCTTTAACAATATTACACTCTCCAACTTAGCCATATCATTTCACTAAACAACATGCTGCTGCTTTGCTCGGGCATCTGTTTGGGATGCCACCTGGATGCCTCCCTGGGGAGATGTAGAAAACCCAGGACAAGCTAGAGGGCCTACAGCAGGGGCCTCCAACCTATAGCTCAAGAGCTACCAGTAGCTCGCCAGCCCCTTTCAGGTAGCTCCCCAAAGGATTTAGAATTTAGCACCTGAATCCTGAATTAATACACTTTGAGTCATTTCATATCTATCATAAATATACATTACTGTAAGTAAAAGGTTATGCAGTATTATGGTATTTACATGTGTTCTCCGTGTGTGTTCGCTCTTGTCTTCATTATTACATAGATTTTTATTACGACTACAAAAAAGGAGTAGCTCTCTGCCTCTTCTGTGTTAAAAAGGTAGCTCTCCGATTGAAAAAGGTTGGAGACCCCTGGCCTACAGTATATCTCTCTGCCGGCCTGGGAACACCTCTGGGTTCTCCCGGATTAGCTGGAGGAAGTGTGGATAGGGAAGTTAGTCTGCTTAGACTACTGCCCCGTGGCCCAGCGACGGATAAAGTGGTAGAATATTGATGGATGGAGGAAAAATCAACAAGCTTCAAATGAACAAGAACCCTACCACAGACAAGTGAATTGACTACAATGTACGAGGTATTAGCATTACAAATATCATATGAATTAGATACTGAATCTGCACTCTTACAGGTAACTATGGTAACAATATTTGTGATATTCTTTTATCTGTTAGTTTGCTGATCTTCATCTTGATCCAGAATATTTTCTGATTTACAAGAAAAAAATGTTTTGGATGAAGAACAATCCAACAATGTGAAGGTATTTAATTTAAGTTAAAAGCAACCTTAACCTCTGAGTTCCACTACAAATGCACTATGTATCCATCTGTGAGGATTTATTATGGATCTTTTTCCTCCGTATATCAAACACCCGCCATTTATCTATCAACCTTGGCACGCTGTGAATGTCTAGATTTATGGCTCTTCTCTTGGAGCCATTTGCTCAAAGACTCATAGAAAACAAACTTTATTCTCATATTGTGAAACCCTTCCTCTCCTATAAACTTACCCAGATGGCTTCAAAGGGTCGTTGGTGCTCTGGGACCTCAACACCAGCTGGAGTTACGAGTAACCAGTAGGGGGCGCTTTATTGCTCGACTTCTTTCTTGGCAAAGCAGCAGTAGCCTCCAGTCAAACAGCGGGCTGCTAGAAGCTTAGGGATTTCCTATGGCGTACATCCTGTGAGGTAAAGAGACTCATCCAGCCTCCAGCTCTGAAAATATGGGACGATTTATGATCATTTTTAGCACAATGTATTTATGGGGTACTCTTTAGGAGCCACTTAGAATCCTAATTGCCGGAAGAAGACAGCAAAAACTCAGCATTTCTGTGACTCACTGGAAATTGGAAGTGGCCCCAAATCTAGAGAGTGAATTGGCAGTTAGCGAATGGATTAATCCTCAGTATGATCGAAATGACAAAGTGCCGCCGAGAGATTCTGTCCCCTAGTGACCCCCCAGCATCCACCAGCGCTAATCATCCAACTAATCACCCATGTTTTCGGAGATGTAGCAGTTCTGGGCTTAGTCATGCTTGGCTCACAAACATCCATCCATCCATCCATTTTCTACCCTTAGGCTCACAAACAACCATCCAAAATATGGACCAATTAAATAGTTACTTATTAGATTTAAAACACTTATCTCTTCCCCATTGGTCACAGACACACTTTAACACAATGTTTAATCTCCCAACTGGACCACAATCTCTTTAAGAGGACAAATTCTGTTCAAAAATGCTTGCACGGTGGAGATATGAAACAACTAATCAACTGGTCCTGTAATCACACAAACCAATTAACATCTTTTAAGACGGTCCTATGACTTTAAGAGGGCATTTGGTCCAGTTGAACACCGGTTCATTTTTACTTTGGACAAGCAGGTCTATATCCAGACCTTCTCTAGCTCGTCCTTTCCTCACTTACTCATACCTACATGTTCACATCTCATACGCACAAGGCAGTTTCTAAATTAATAATGCATTTCTGAATTTGTTCCACACAGGGGCGTGGCCACACCACTAAAGAGCAAGTTCAAGGACGGAGCGGTGGAATCCGTTTTCTAACCATAACTTTAGCCAATGCTTTAGCCTTCTTTTGCCTTGTTTTAATCGTGTTTTTTTTTTTTTTTTTCATCTTTATTTAACCAGGAAAGTCCCATTGAGATTAAGAACCTCTTTTTCAAGGGAGTCCTGGACAAAAGTTACATACAGTCACATACATACAGATTATAAAACACTTACATATCATAAAACAGTTACACGATAGCATCAAATTGTTTATACCTGGCTTTTAATTCAGTGCTCTTTTTAAACCCGGGTCCAAAGAACTTTTTTTCCACATCTAACACGTAGGTGACCATATCCAGCTACTAGGGCACTTGTTTTCAAATGTGTAAATGACAAGAGTTCACTTTCTTCCAAAAGTTCCTCTGATCTGTCTGCAGTGCATCCCCATGAGCCCCTCTCTCTGAGTCTGTGATGTGTCAAACTCACTTATTACTGCCTCATGTTTTTGTAAATCTCATTCATAAAGCCACTTTGTATGTCCTTATATGGTGAACTGGAGAGTTTGAGTCTGTATGCAGGAAGTGCGTGTGAAGGGTTTCTTCACATACCTCACATTCAGTGTGAAAGCCTGACTGCCATATTCGCATGCTCGCACATTTATCCAAAATGTTCCTTCCTCCAGTGGATTCACATGCGATCTGCTTTGTTTGGGCTATTTTCCCTGCTCTGATTCAGCGTAAACCTTGAAGTCTGTACTGAAAGGAAATTTACACATGGCAAAAGCACAACAAGTGTATCAATTTACCGCAACACAAAACTACAGAGGACAAATACCAGCACCTTTAAATCAAAAGCTATATAGAGATTAGATGCGAGTCAAAAAAATAGCAGATGAAATTATGAAGATGAGTTTGCAAAAGGTTATCTCAATTTGTAAAAAAGTTTCAAAAGTTGTTTTCATAGTTACGATCTTCAACACGAGCAATACATGTGAAAGGAGTTGGCGTTTGAAATAACGGATTAGTAAAGAGAAAATTGTGAGTCTTTTACATATTTTCAAATGGCACTCGCGAATATACTCTTCATGAACTACTGTGGTGCAATCAGAGACTATTTACAGAAAGTGCTTTTGCGTGTGATTGCTATTAAATCTGAACTGTGAAATGATTACAAACATCAGAGGGAGGGTAACAGTCTTGCTCCCTGGGGCAGGTAAAGCGTGCAGGCATATAAGAGCTTCGTTTCAATGCTTCCGGTGTTAGGGGAAAGGATTTTGTGTTAATTTTCCCTCCTCAATTTAAAACATCATCTCAAGTGAGCAATCTTAAACTTGTTATTACTTTCATGAGAGAAGTCCATATACAGTGACGGTAAATCCACACAAAAACGTTCAAAACAACAGATATTTGAATAGACTTTTTTGGAGCCCACATTTAGTTTTCGGTTCTATCCTATTACTCATTTCTTTGTGTCAGAATAATTCTGAATCATGTGGGACTCAGCTTCTGTATAGCAAATGCAAACCCTGTTATCTTATCAGTATGTAAGCGATATTTGAAACTTGTAGCGTATGTACTTATGCATCCAAATAAATCATTCCTTATCGTGGAGCGCAGTACAATGGGAGCCGTGAGTGTTATCTCTGTTTCAAAAGGTCTTCTTGGATGGAACACTTTTGCCGCAAATAAGTTCATGAAAAATAGTGGGAGGGTTGCAACAATGACAAAATAGAAAAAATAAACCTCTGTGACAAGTTACAAGTGGTCGACAACACACTGCTTCCTGTGACCCATCGTCCGAACGGGGAAAGACATGTTGCTGTATAATGCATTACAAGTCATCTTTATGTACATAGCACCTTTAACAGACCAGAGGCACACAGCACTTTGTCCTGTCATTCAACACATGGGAGTGGGGTTGCCATACAGGAGGTGCGTGCCAGACCCTACATGTTTTTTAGTGGAGGAGGAAACCGGAGCGCCTCAAGGAAACCGGAGCGCCTCAAGGAAACCGGAGCGCCTCAAGGAAACCGGAGCGCCTCAAGGAAACCGGAGCGCCTCAAGGAAACCGGAGCGCCTTAAGGAAACCGGAGCGCCTCAAGGAAACATGAGCACCTGGAGGAAACATGAGCACCTGGAGGAAACATGAGCACCTGGAGGAAACCGGAGCACCTGGAGGAAACCAGAGCACACACGATGAGAACATACAAAGTCTGCACGTAAAGGTCTGGAGGTGGAACCCAGGAGCTTCTTGCTGTGAAACACAAGCTCTAACCTATGCGCCACCGTGTCGCCGTAAGAGTACCAACCCGGAAAGCCCCATTAAGACAACTCTCTGATCACTGCAGTTTTCAGCAATACGCACATGTTTTACCAGGAGCAGGTGATAGGAAGTGAAAGCAACATGTTTAGAAGGTTCTTCTAAAAATGAAAAATGTAACTTGTCAGGTAATTACCACAGCACACGCTTTTTTACATTGTTGTCTTATTAAAATTACCTTCAAAGCATTAAACAGGAGAAGACATAATGACTTTTTTTGTTTTCCTTTACTGAAACCAACATGTTGAAAGCATAATCAAGGAGCCAATCAAAATGAGGACGCAAGACACAGACCTCCATTCTCCTTTATCGTCTTGGACACTCTACAACATGCAGAGATTTCAGGGGGAATGAGAGTGTGTTTGTGAGAAATTATAATATGTATTTTTTTTGTTTTTTTCGGAAGTAGCTGCAAAGTTTCACTCTCAGATTGTGTGACCGTAAGCAGCCGAAATTGTCTAACCACACAAATATAGACATGCAGGTGTTGTGACCTTTTGGGTAATAAGACACTAATCATCACAGCACATGGACTCCATATTAAAAGTACTCAGTAATCACAAAAAAATAACATCTAAATGAACTGACCTTTACAACCAGAACCCTTGTTTTAGGTACATTACGGATTGCTTGCTGTCAGTGCTGAAGACTGAGCCCTATACCTTGATGGGGGCGCAATATACCTGATAAATGGATTTTTATCTTTGATTACATTTTCACAAGTTAAGGACTAAAGTCCAATGACTTACATTTTATTAAGGCCCGTCCCAGAAAAATGCCTTCTAGTGGGGAGTGAACTCACAGGATATTATCCCCAAGAATTGGGCACCCCTGGATCTAGGGAACAATATGCAAATGATGCGCAAACGTGTTCCAACGTCACACGCATTATCAATTTGTCTGATTCGACCACAGATTGAGATCTGACACAGATTGACTTTATGAAACACAGTATTTATCTAAAATGAGAGAGCATTTTTCATTCTATGTTCATATGAAGGATTTTCTTAATTAGGTACAGAAACTGAGGCACAGCACACACACAGAGACAGACGTTTGTACAAACACACAGAGGACAGAACATGTACATACTAGGGCTGGGATAAACGATATTTATTTTTTAAACGATTAATCATTGCGATTATGTTCGATGCATCGATTCAATCTAACAATTTATTTTTTTCGCTTCAATTCGAGTTTCTATTTGTTCTCGATTATCTCCCCATTTATTGACTAATTTGATGTATATACATGTTGATTTAAATATTTTATGATGAAAAAAACATGTATTTCCATTACAAAAAATATTTATTGCTTGCTCTTAAAATTCAAAAAATAAACATCTTAGAGGTAGCATAAAACCTGAAGCCTTGAAAAACATACAGTTACTGAAAAAAAGTGATCTTATCATTCTTGAAACAAACATTTGAGGCTTAGCATTCAATAAAAATTAAGAAGAAAAAGTTCAGCCAAATACTTGATGTAGAGCAACTAAAAGGAAAACAGTAGTCCAATGATAAACTTGATGGCTTTAAGCTAATACAAAGAGTGCTTTTCCAGCAAAAACAGTGGGAGCCATCAGCCTGTACATGGCGTCGCTTCCTGACCAACAGAGTTTAACATTTAAGTTGAAGACACCATAGGCCTAATATTACTGAAGTCCATTAATTATAGGGCATCTGCTGAATATTCTTCATTCATTAAAAGGAAACAGTCAAAACTCTGCCTCGCTCACCTTTTTCTTAAACTCTCGAAAATTCAAAAATAAGAATTTTTTCAAGTAGGAGTGTACAAGAGAAATACAATAATATAGCAATTAAAAAGGGTCAACCAGTCATCCTTCTTTTTAGAAAGGATGACAGGTTGACCTTTTTATTTGCTTATTTTTTTTCGTGTTTTTTGTTCCGCTTACCTTTCTTATTATTATTGTTTTTCTCTGGTACCCACTCTTACTTGAATCTTTATTTTTGAATTTTGAGTTTAAGAATTAAGGGGTGAGTGGCAGAGTAGTTTTGACTGTTAGCTTTGTGATATGAATGAAGAATTAAGAGATGCACTTTTAATTAATGGACTTCAGTAATATAGGCATTATGTGTCTCAACTTAAATGTTAAACTCTGTTGTGTTCAGGAAGGACGCCTCATGACAGGCTGATGCTCCCACTGCGTTTTGCTGGAAAAAGCACTCTTTGTTTAGCTTAATAGCCCTTCAAGTGTTACATTGGTTACTGTTTCTTTTTAGTTGCTCCTACACAAAGTTTGTAAATTTGGCTGAACATTTTTCATATTTTTATTGAATGCTAAGTCATCAAATGTTTGTTTCAAGACATGATAAGAATGCACGTTTTTCAGGTAAGCTGTTTGTTTTTCAGGCTTCAAAGGTTTTATGCTTACCTCTAAGAATGTCTTATTTTTGAATTTTAAGAGCAAGCAATAAATATTTTTTGTGAAGGGAATTCTTGTTTTTTTCATTTTTAAAATATTTAAATCAACATGTTATTACATCAATATTAGTCAATTAAATGGGGAGATAATCGAGAATCAAATCGAAATCGATTGAAGCGCGAAAAAAATAATTGTTTAGATTAATCGAAATTGCAGCGAAAAACTAATCGCGTTAGGATTAATCGTTTTAAAAAATAATCGTTTATCCACAGCCCTATTGTATGTACATGTGTCTGTCTCCTGTGTGTTTGTACATTACGTCGTCTATGAGTGTGTGAGTTTGCCTCGTTCTGTA